ATCAAATGCTTCTTAAACTGTGTGCACTTTGTCTAACTGCACTTATTTTAAAATGGATGGATTATTAAACAAGAAACAAATCAAGGCTACTCGAAACTTTGAAGTGAGAAAAAGGAGAAGAAGATTGAACAATGATTGATTTATTGAAATAGCACCAATCAAATCATAGTGTAATCAAATTAAAAAAGAAATTGCCAAAAAAATAAAGGTTGGTAAATCATCAAATGGGTAGACTGGACATCCAAAATCCATCGTGGACACTTGATCCACGATCTCTTTTGTTTCATTGTTTTGTTCTTATTTTCATTTTTGTTAAAACAAATTTGGGTTCTGAAATCTGAACCTTGAAATAATACATTACAAATTCGGCACGATAATACATTTCATTAAAAATTATTTTACTAGGGAAACAGTAAAAAGAACGAAATGGACTTTGGTTTTCTTTAATTTTAATTTTACTTCGAATTTTTTTTATCAGGAATTACAAATATGCAAGTCTATGGCAAAATCAAAAGTCTAATACGTAAAAGGAATTGCAAAAAATGTTCTCCAAATAAGATTTGATCCGGGAGAGTTTGTTTCTGGGAAAACAAGATGTCAGAAAATAAAACAATATAAGAAAATAGGGAGAATTTCTATAAAGGGCATCCAAAAGATCCCAAATTATTATAAAGAGTATTAGTTATTTTTGTTCATTATCATGTTAATTTAATATTTTTATTACACCGCAAATGACTACTAATTATTCCCTCCAGTCCTTATTATAAGACATTTTGATTTCGTCCTATGTTCCACTTAAGATGTCTTTTTAATTAAAATAAAAACTTTAAAAATATTTCATAGTAATTAGGAGAACACAACAAATTTGAAAATATCGTTTTAAGTTTTTTTTTCTAATGAAAAAGACATTACAGGTGAAATTTAAGACGAAATTAAAATATCTTATAATAAGGTTCGGAAGGAGTACATAGAAGTTAGAAATAAGCAATGATGATCGCAAGAGGTCACTTTCTTGACCATAAGCTATTGATTAATACTGGAGTATTTGTTGCGACATTTAGGTTACCCCTCGTAAATGATTAAAAACCTCAAACAAACATTAGAAAATTGATTATGTAGGACTTTGATATGAATATCATGTCCATCTACTTCACAGAACTCTAGAAAAGCTAAAGATTGTTTATTCGTTTTTAGCTAAATCCGACAAAGCTAAAATAAGGTTGGGTTTCAATCAAACAACTCGATTGTAGAAATTGAACCCCGTGTGGTTTTCCTTAGGTTGACATATTTAATTCATTCAAAATGGAGATAATAGTATTCAATAAACTCTATATCCCGACAGTTATTACAGGTATAATGTAATCCCAGAAAGAAAAAAAAAAAAAAAAAAAAGAAAAACCCTATCCAGACAGAAGAAAACGACCGACCCTTAAAAACAATGTCGATTCCCAAAGATGGTAGTTCCAATGTGATCCGAACATAATTTTTAGGTGACGCCACCAACCAAGAAGATGGTGAAGCCCTTAAAGGAAGAGGAACTTTCAGAGCTACTAATGATGGATTTATATGCAGTTTGTGCACATTAACAATGTACATGAGTGTACCGAATTCTGAATAGGTCAAACACTTAAATCGCCTTGGTTGTCAACTTTCGGGTTTATAGTTTTAGGGTTAATTCAAAATCATTCACACCAGAAGGAATATAACATGCTCTGCAAGTCCGCGTTCTGAATGATTATATTTGCATTATTAACTGCTATAAACATGTCATTTTGAAAGTTGTTATCATTTATGTTTACAGGTCAAAATGAAGGGATGTTTTGCACTGGTCTCAATTCAAATCATGCTTTAAATGATGATTATATTCATATCTGTTACTAATTTACTATGAACGTGTCATTTTATCATTATGCGCTACAGACCAAACTAAGCAGAGCAACACAAAAATTTCGAGACAGATTAGAGGCTCCATATATTGGGTCAGAGGACCAAACTGTGAAGACTTGAAGTCGAGATCTGTCACATTTTTATTTAGTTTTCTGCCAAAATCTGTGGATCAATTTTATACGCAAATGGAAACCCAAGTTCTTTGTCTCAAGTAATGAACCTTGCAGCAATTTATACTACCAGCAAAATTCTGGAGCAACATTATCACTAGACGCAAGTCGAGGGCAGAATATCAGAAAACATGCATAAATACTGGGGAAAGAAATTCTTTTATCCTTCAGCATGAAGAGCAGCAATCAGTGATGATGCATGGTAAATTTGCGCTTCAACAGCAAGTAGCAAATATGAATCAACTGGAAGATGCAGCAGAGGAACAAGAACAACAGAGGCCAGCGCTAAACTCCTACGCATCTAAAGAAACGAGGGAAATCTGAGTTTGAGTCATTTAAGGGACTAATTCAGATCAACTACCAAAGCAGTGCCACTAAATCAACATTTTTGACAGTTGATATCATATATCACAACAGTTCTAGCAAATCAAAGACAGATGAAGTGAATTCTAAAACAGCCAATCTTTCGCCATAAAAGCAATCAAAAGAACAATCATTCAATGGCAATCACATTTCGGTTAGACAATGTACATCTTCAACATCCAAGATACCAAGGGCTGATATGGTGAATTCTGTTTTGCCAGAAATGTGATCTAAAGCAACATTATGGCATTCACATTTCAGTGACAAAAAATACAATCCAGAACACCAGACATCATAAATGCACCAACATGAATTCTAACGAACTCAAAGGAATACATCCTTCACATAAACATCACAACAGTAACAAGAAGTAATCATTTTGTAATTCATGAATTGTTTTGCATTTCACCAAGAAAGCAGTCACAAAAGCAACATCATTTACCGGTTTACCTTGAACAAAATCCAGTGCCATGTGGCATAAAAGTTGAGGCTCTACAAAGTACAAAACACATCCTTATCGGATGTCCCCGAAGGGACAAACTCATCCTTATTAATACCAAACAACCACAAGAGAACTGATAGCTCAACAAAGACGAATTCAAAAAATATAGAACCAGAAATCAGAACAAACTGGAGAAATGGTTATGTGGTAAATTCTTGGAACGTTTTATTAAAAAATAAATAAATAAATAAGAAATCTAAAGATACATTTCTCCGGGGCATACGTGTTGCAGTCATGAATATTGCAAGTAACATCAATGACATAAACGTTTGGCCTTTAACAACATAATTCTTATCATCAAATATCACAACACTACCGGCAAGATGAATCATAAAACGCCGCAAACTAAAGAGGCAGTGATGACATGAAGTGTATTCGAGAAACAGTCCAAACACACTCAATAGCAACATAGTGCAAGGGCATATGTGCTGCAGTCATGTGAAATCCAAGCAACAGCAATGGCAAAAATGTTTTAGTTACACAACAAACTAAATCAACAGCTGTATGGTTCAATGGCAAATTCTTGAAACGGGGCAAATTCTTGAAACGGTTCCAAAGTTGCAAGTAACAGCAATATTGTTCAATGGCATGCACGTTTAGGTCATGCGTAATCCTAGCGACATCAATGGCGAACATTAAGGGTTACACATTATAGTCTTTAATAATGAAATATCACTACCAACAAGATAATCACGATAACTAAAGAGGTGACCATGAAGTAAAATCTTGAAATAGCTGAAAAAGAGGAATTAAAAGAAAAAAAGTTCAATGCCAAACACGAGGCAGTCATGCAGAATCCAAGCATGTAAGAATCGCATGCGTTGAGGTCATAAAACATTATCCTTAACATCAAATGAATAAGATACAACTCGACAAAATGCACCGCAGATTGTAACAAACTATAGAGGTGGGAATGAAGTGAAAGCAACATCAGTTAAATTCAATGGCATACACGTTTAAGCCATGAAAAACCAACGCAGCATAAGTGGTATACACGTGGTTATAATAGATAATCTAAAGTTCCAAACACTAAAACATCATCCGACGAAATGCACCGCAGAATCTAACAAACTATAGCGGTGGGAATGAAATGAAAGGAGCATCTGTTCAACTCAATGGCATACACGTTTAAGTCATGCAAAACCCAAGGAGCATAAATGGTATACACGTGGTTATACAACATAATCTAAAGTTCGGGACACAAAAACATCCTTAACAGACACAACTCGACAAAATGAACCGCAGATTGTTACAAACTATTAAACTATAGAGGTGGTAATGTAAGCAAACTCAATCAGTTCAATCCAATGACACAAGCAGCATAAATGGCATACACAGTGATTATACAACATAATCTAAACTTCGGGACACTACAAGAATCATAAATTATAACAAACTAAAGAGATGTTGATGAAGTCAATTCATAACACCCTTTCAGAAAAGCAATCACGACAACATCATTCAATGTCATAGACGTTTTAGTTCAACAAATTTCATCCTTAACTTCGAGCTTCACAACAGTACTGACAAAAATGAATATTGAACACAAACTGAAGTCTGACATCTTTAACGTCTGTAATCACCAATGTAACGACAAGATAAATCATGAATGCTAAACGGAAGAGTAGGAAAAGTTACCAAAGGAAACGTGTCCTAACAATGCTTAAAAAGAAAAGTCATTCCATGGCATACAGCTGGGGTCAAGACTCCCAAAACAAAGATAACGTACGTTGGGGGGTTTGGATTTTAGAGTCCCAAAACAAATATAACGTTCGTTGGGTTTGGATTTTTGATAAAATGGATGACTACAAAATATAACGTTCGTTGGGTTTGGATTTTTGATAAAATGGATGACTACAAAATATAATGTGTCAGGATTGCGGATAGGACTCATAAGGCTGTAGAACTGTGATTTAGGAGAGAAAACATAGTGCAAAACTGTGATTTAGGAGAGAAAAATAGTGTTGGATAACCATTATCCAAAACCAAAAAAAACCCAGGACCTAACTTTTAATTTTCCCAAAAAAAAAAAAAAAAAAGGTGGTGGTGGATGAACGGAACCAAATCCTCAAGAAGTCCTCTTTTCCAAAATCTATAAGATAGACTGTCTCAAGGAATAAGTATAATTGTGGTTTAGACCAGATACTTGCGAAAAGCACGAATAACATAAACTACGCAGCCTTTAATATCCATGATACATACGAACAAGATGTTCGAATTACTCCTACTAAGACTACCAAGAAACTAAAACTTGAGATTAGACTATAGCTCTATCGAGCGAAATCCAACAGTCACCAGGTTTGATTAATAACAAAAACAGATGCAAGCAAGAGAATAATATTACAATTAACCACTAGCATAGAAATGTGACACCATTTCAATTTCAGAATTCTAACTGCTGCAATATTGGAAGAGTGAAAGTTAGTCAGGACCTTCACAAGTTACAGCACTAATTCTCCTTCATTCCTCCTTGCTCGACAACTGATACTTCCCCTCATTCCCTGCTTCGATCAGCATTTCCAAATTGAAGCAGACAATAGCTCGCGATGCTGCCAACATAGCACAAGAGACGAACCCTGTTTGCGCTTCTCAACATGGAATCCCCGAACTTGACAATGTGACACAACACACTCAGCTTGAGTTTCCACAAAGTTGCTGAGTGACATTGTGGAAAACCCTGCAGATGCCAAGAGGTTTGATGCAGGTGGGATTTGGTTTGGGCATTGCATTCGACCAAAGACAATGCTCTCGATATTTGGTTGAATCAGAAACCTCTCAATCTTCTTAGCTCCATCCGAAGGCATGTGTGCGGCGTCAATAGAGTCAAGGAGGACCTCATAGTACTGAAGTGCATTAAGCAAATGAGGCGAAGGCGGTAGCTCGAATCTTTCACAACCCTGATTCAACACTACCATAACTTTGGGAGAGAGTTGCTTAATGAAGCACAGGAGCGAGGGAAGGATCGAGGGTCGACTGGAAATTGACCAAAGAGGGAAGTTCACAACAATAGTATCACTCTGAGATGACCGGAATGAAGAGGCCGGGTAAGTGCTTGGATCGAAAGAATCAAAATTCACAACCTCAAGCTCGAACTTAATGCCAAGACCAAGGGCAAACTGTGAGAGACTTTCATGAATAAGGCTAATCTCAACCGAATCATAACTCGAAGGAGATGCAAATGCAGTGATTTTCAAAGAAGGCGGCCCTGCCCCTGACCCTCTAATCTTCCTAGGAAGCTCTTGCATGAATGAAGACCATTGAGCGCCACACCCAAAATCAAAGTCAACAATATGAACATGCTGTGCATTATCTTCAATGGCTCCAAGAAGAACCTGATTGGAGGTGAAATTCATGAACTGGATGAGGGGTGAAACATCAGAGAACGTTTTATAAGCTCCCATTTTGAAGAAACCATCCAACGGAGTAGGAATCTTCGAGGCTCGGTTGGGGGGCATAAGCAGAAACATTTGCAGGGCTTCCTTGAAAAAGAAAGCAGCCCTTTGAAATGGCTTCACAGCAGGAGAGAGGTGGTGATTGAGCCGCGCCAATATCCCTTGCGCGTGTGCGAAATTTCCAGCCAGAGTCAACTCTGTAGCCTTGTAGAGCTGGTCGTAAACCACCTGCTGCTGCTGCTGTTGTTGCTGAAGCTGAAGCTGCCGGGCAGCCACCATTGGTGGAGGACTGCCAATGATAACATTGCCACCATCAGGAACTTCCTGCTTCGGCACCAAGAACGGCTTCAATTGGTGCTGGCCTAAACCAAGGTAAAGCTCTTGCTGCTGCTTCCTCAAAAGAGATGCAGGATCTGGATCAAGAAGAGGGATTTGAGGGATCTGTGAACCCGAGAAAGAGCCTCCTCCTCCATTGCCTAAATTTTGACGCTTTGGCTGAGGAGAATACTCTTGATTAGGCCGAGACAACAATGAATTCAACAGATTGAAATTTTGCTGAGCATTTTGGAACTGTGGAGTGCTACTCATTAATGGCATTAAGTTCTGAGACTTATGTTGTTCCATGGCAAATTGTAACTGTTGTTGGTGAGCAATGTTGGGAGTAGCATTAGGCAGGCAGAGCAGATTACTATTGGCCGCAGCCGGTAAAGAGAGCGAGAAGCTCTGATTTTGAGGATGACTAAAGTTGTTAAATGGACTAATGGCCTCCAATTTACCAGAATTTGTAATAGGTACCACATTACCGGTACCGGCAGATAAACCGCCGCCGCCACCAATAACAACGGCGCTGGCCATGGCCTCAAATCCTGCAGAACCACCAAAAACCCCATTTGGACCGTTTACATCAATCTCAACATTAGAAGAAGAATTCCCACCAACTGCACTGCCTTGTAACAAAAAGGGCTTCGAGTTGGATTCTTCGGCAACAACATCATCACTGTATATCCATTGGTCCTGGCCACCAACACCAACACCAGCAGCAGATTCAGAGATAATACTCTCCCAATCCAAACCAAGACTCCCATGTTTGCTCAACTCGAACCCAGCTTGAAGTCCATGAAGCGTAGATACCCATTCCTCCTTCTGTTGTCCACCTTCACCACCATTGTTGGCCTCAGTTGCAGGCAGGTTTGGTTCTTGCAAGGGTACAGCAGTTCTTGCTACAGAGGAAGAAGAACCCACAACTAGGTTGCCGGTGCTGCCGCTGTTCGTTCCTCCGCCACCACCGCCGTTAGTGCCTCCACAAGAGGAAGAAAGAGTGGAAGTTGAAGTTGAAGGACTGGGACTCCTTGGGTCCAGTACAGATATTGGTTCAAAGTTTCCGTCTTTCTTCACCTTTGTTCCTCCTGCTCCGGCACCGGAAACCGAGATTGAAGAAGGAAAACAAGAATTAACTTCCGGCACCCCTTTTGCTTGCACGTTGGAATTATTAAACTGCATTCCTATCATCTGAAAAATAAAAACCCAGAAAACAGAAAAGGAGATTAGTATTAAGCAAGTACAGCAAAGACAAACCATTAATTGGCAAAATTCAAAAACATGAAAAACTTTTTTATTACCTTCCTAAAAGACTTCAGAATTCCCCCCAAATTAAAAAGAAGCTTCAAAACGAGAATGGAGTTGCTTGAAAAAGAAAAGTAAATCGAAAGTGAGAAATTATAGAAGCATCCGCCATGAATGTACTGAAAAACCCATTAATAGACCAGACAGATGAACTCTTCACACCCCACCAATCTTTCCTCTTCCTTTCGAAATCCTCCATATGAGACTGAGAGACTGAAAAAAAGAAAAGAGAAAGAACAAAAATTTCCTTCAGCTCCCCATAGGCTTTAATTTTCACTCTGTGTTTCCCCCTTTTTTTCCCCTCTTGTTTTTTTTCACTTCTCCCACTAAACAAGGCAAACCTTCTTCTGTAGAGACTATACTACTAGGCCACAGGACAAGACAGGTCCATTGCTTTTGTTATTCAATTTTGGTTTGTCCTATCCTCAGTCTATCCTACAAAACTATTTCAGAAAAATTAAAAAAAAAAAAAAAAATCACTCTTTTGTGCCCGGCAAAGTTCTGAGTCTACCCGGTCTATCACCTCCCTCTCTCTCTTCCTTTCTTTTCTCTCTGTTTATTATCTCTGTTCTTCTTCTGCTAACCTATGAAGATGTATGAAGGGATGCGTGCATCATGAAAAAGGTTAAAAAACTAAAAGTGGGCCCCTCTCTCTCTTCTCTCTGCCAATACAATACTCTCTCTTCTACTCTATAACACTCTCTCTACAGACTACAGTCTATATATATAAGATAAAGATAAAATGTTTGTAGTAGAAAAATTTTTACCTCTTTCATTTATTGGTTTTTCTTTTCTTTTTTTTTTTGAAGACAATTATTCATTTTTACTCTACCTTTAACGAGGTAAAAACCTAATGCTATATCACTCAGACAGTTACTTTTGTATGGTTAGATACAAGACGTCCAAAATAAGATCTTATACAAATAAATTTAGTTTATTACAATTAATTAATTCATCATCATCATCTCAGCTTTGTACAATGATTGTGTATCCTCCCCTACCGTTTCAGTTTTTTTAGCATAACAAGCTACTAGCACTAAAATGATGGAGAAAATGTAATTTATATTTACTGCTTTTTTATTTTAGTGTACTATAAACAAAATTCCGTACTTGTTTTTTTGAGCGGAGTTGTGATTATCGTAAGATATCGACATTTTTTTCTATTTCATAACGTTAAAAACTCCATTCACTACATTTCCAAGCATTTAATCAAATATTATTGGGAACTACTGTAAAAAGCTAATAACAATGAGTCGTTTCAAATGAATTAAAGTAGTAAAAAGTAAAACCTTGGAAAATTTTTGAGTTTTTTTTTTATATTTTCTGTTAAAAAAAATAAAATGAAAATACTGAACATAACTTGGTCCGCCAAATGTGTCTGATGACTATACTGTCAAACTGTCTTTCCCTTCTTGTAGAAGTCTTTAAAGGGAGAGAGACCCCTTTCCCCCCTTTTCCCTTGGTTGCCGCAACCCCAGGCCCATGGGCCCCACACTGTTTCCAGCAGGGTCCATCTTGCTTCATCATGAGTCTTTATCACATTTGACCACCAGTAACTCTCAATTCCCCCACCCCTCTTTTTCGGGTTTTCCTCCCCTTATTTTTTACATTTTTTATTTTTCCCTTGTATAATTTTTATTTTTAAAAATTCGGTTATATTCTTTTCCCATTTTCTTTTATTTTCTTAATCCTGTATCTCATCGTGAGTCTATGTTTTGATCCAAGCAATATGTTAACAAATTGTCTGATATAATTAGTGATTATTAATCAATAAATTAATTGAATTATAACAAGAAATTTCCTGAAAATGAAAAGGCTGATTACAAGATTATCAATCTATCAAAAAGATATGATGACATTTTACTCGTGAAACAGACTCATTAATTACAGATGTAGGAAAATTCTAGTACATTCTGACTTTGAGATGGAAGTACTTATTCAAGAGGCTTTCTCTCATATTTTAAAAATGAATTTACAATTTAAAAGGCCTTTTTTAACATTTATATTAGCAATAAATTAAACATAAAGTAACATAAAGTTGCTCACTATATTTGTTCGGTACCAAAAGTTTAAAATGTTACTATATAGAACCAGAAACATAAATAGTGTTACCATTTAGTTTCCCGTCAGGATTTCGGCAAAAAATAACGGTCAACTATTTTGTCACGTAAGTTGATATAAGAGTATTTGTGTTGATACAAGAATTTGTTACAATCAACTACACCAAAAGTACCACGAAGTTGATTACTATATTCGTTTGGTACCAAAAGTTAAAATGTTACTATATGGCACCACAAAAATAAATATTGTTACCATTCAGTTATTTCTTTTTTGAGCAAATATAAGACAGTTAGTATCTGACGGGCACCTCCGATTTTATTAATTTTTTAAAAAGTAAGTAATCAGTACTTAAAACTTATTCCATTAAAGAGCATGTCGTATTAAGATTTTCTAAAAGTCCATGACGGTTTCACTTTGAAACTATCTATGTAAGAGACGGTCTCAAAAAAATTACTTTAAAATCTATGATAGCTCTATTTTAAAACATTTAGCTAAGAGGCTGTCTCACAAGATTTTCTAAAAATTTTGGGACAACTCTATTAATTACTATATTTTTACAATTCTTATTAACCTTATACGGATATATGAAAAGAAATCTAATTTAGACTTAAAATACCTCTAATTGAAACGGTAAATCAGAAGTTCATATGTCTTTGTTAAATCTGCTCACCCAACCTTTGATAAACTATCAACTACACTATTAATTAACTCTCTGGAGATATTTAGCATCTTTAATGTCATTTAGATGATCATGATACCTCCAAGGAAAATTTCATATAAGCAAGTTAACAATTAACTTATTATCTGTTTCTACCATTATCTTTCTGACTCCTCGCACTTCGCAAGTTTTAAACCATAGTATATTCTTTCAATCTTAGCAACAAAGCTATAGTTCACTTCAATATATTTGTATTCAACTGCAATAAAAATGGCTTTATCTCCACGAATCACAAAACCCCATCCCCACTTCTCCAGGTTATTTTAAGTTGATTCGGTGGTATTCAAAATTATTTCTCATGGATCCAGTAGTTTCTAGCGTACATGGATAACTTTCTTCATTGAAGGCTATAAGATCTTTATTTAAAATCTCCAATTCTTTTTTATTTTAGAAAAACTAAATGATAACACTATTTATGTTTTTTGGTGTCATATAGTAACATTTTAACTTTTGATACCAAAAGAATATAATAAACAACTTTGTGGTACTTTTTGTGTAGTTAATTGTAACAAAATCTTATATGCACACAAATACCCTTCGGTCAACTCCTGTAACAAAACAGTTGACCGTTAGTTTTTTGCCGAAATCCTAACGAAAAACTGAATGATAACACCATTTATGTTTCTAGTTCTATATAGTAACACTTTAAACTTTACCGAACCAATATAGTGATCAACTTTATGATACTTTATGTGTAATTAATTGTTTATATTAGTGTTTGATTTGGTGAATTTTTGTTACAATATCCTACAACATCAATACTCCTCTTCCCCCACAAATATATTTTGCATAATTTGTAAATTATTTTAAAAATAATATAGTAAATCGTAATATAGATTATGTTTTTTAGGCGAAAAAGAATATTTATCAATCTAATTGCATCTTGAGTAGTTTCTATTGATCAGTTAATCAATTATGCCCAGCGAATTAGTACTACTATAGTATTATAAGACGACAAATTCTTGGGTGCACCTCGAATCACCATGGTCTCCCTCCTATTTTTTGTACATATGATCCTTATTGTACTTTTTTTTCTCAAACTTCTTATGTTTTGCAAGTTTAGTCCTTGTCACTTTTTTTTTTCTCTTCTCATAAAATATCTCTAATTTTCAAACAAGCATACCTCTCAATCCATGAATAATTAGAAAATAAATTCTATATGAAATTCATAGTATTCATCGAGATCTATCCAACAAGATCTATATCGAATATTTTTTCGAATTTAAAAATGACTAAATTTTGATGAGCAGAAATAAGATGAACATCTAATTTAAAAATAGGAATAACCAATGGATATTCTTATATTGCAGATATTTCATGATCCATGAAGAATTTTTAAACGAATTATATATATGAAAATTATAGTAGTCGACTTGATCTATTTAACAAGGACCATATCGAATCTTTTTTTTTCAAGTTTTAAACGCATTTAAATTTTATGTGCAAATGAATGAACAAGCAGCATGAAACTTTCGGATAATTAGTAACGAACGGATGGATATCTAACTGTTTGGTACTGATTATCCAACCAAATTTCTTTCTTTATTTTGTTTGTGAAAATCCTTGTCCGGCCTTTTGTTGTGACTATCCAACCGTTTTGCATTAGTTATCCAACCGTTTTCTCTGTTTGTCCAGATAGATTTTGTACTGTTTGTCTAATCATTTTTTTTTTTTTGAAAACTGGTTATCCAATGTTTTCATACCGATTATCCAACCGACCGGTTTCCACTGCTTCTCAAATTTATTTATTTTTAATATTTTTTTTGGATATCCTTGTCCATATTTTTTACTGATTATCCAACCGGTTTGTACTGTTTATCCAATCATTTTCACGGCTTGTCCAATGTTGCGCCGGTTATCCATTGATTTTGTAATGTTTATCCAACGCCTCTGAATGTACCTATTTCTATCAGCAAAAAATGTGAGAGTGAATTTGAATCGGGTCGCCGCCTATCCACCGGTTTCCTAGTGCTTATCTACCGTCTTTGTACTGATTATCCAAGACAATATTTCCTCATGATCGGATAGATCACGTCGAGCATTATAAATTTTATATATAATTTGTTTTCTAATTCTTTACGGATTGAGAGATATAAATTTTACAATAATATGAATATAAAATAGTTGGTTATCCATTCTTTTAAGTTGGATATCCATTCATATAACATACAAATTTCCTTCATTTCTGCCCACCAAAATTTAGTCATTTTTAAGTTCGAAAAAAATATTCGATATGAATCTTGTTGGATAGATATCGACGAGTATTAAAAATTTCATATATAATTCGTTCACAAATTCTTAACGGATTGAGAGTTATGCTCATTTAAAGATTAGAGATGTTTTTTTATAGGAGAGAGAAAAAAAGTAATAGGGACTAAATTTACAAAATATATAAAGTTATTTAGAAAAAGTACAATAAGGAGTAATAATGCAAAAAATAGGAGAAAGACCATAGTGATATTGGGTATACTTAAGATTGTCTCCTATGACACTACTAGTTGGAAATTAGTAGCGCTAGTTGAGGACCACATAATTATTGTCCATAATTATTCATATCTTAATTGATTTGCCCTGTCTTTAAAAGGGGGCCATCAACTAATAAGGGATATAGATGAAGTTCTATTTTTGGTATTAACTTTGGCAAATAAATTCATAACATTCATGCGGTTTAATGTACGAAAATGGAAGTCTTCAATGCATAAATACTTTACATTTAAATGGAAGTCTAAAAACATGTCAATGTTTATTTGTAAATTTAAGAATTACTTATGAAAAGTGATACTCGTGTCACATAAGAATAAAAAGTAACAAGTTATGGACTTTCATGTTTATTTATATCATCTAAGCAGTTTAATTATTAGAATTTACATG